GGGAGTGTGTATCTACTCTTATTCTTGTCAGAGATTTAAAAAAAAAGGTAATGACCCTGAGTATTTTGGCATTCGGAACCTAACTCTTGTTTCTGAAGGGAAGGGGGAATTGTCCATGTCTGTGATGCCTTATGTTGGTGAAGTGCATGTTTTAGGCGCTTGTGCTCAGAATTCAAGGCAGTTTCTCCAATAACCTTCAAGAACTGTATGCTTCCAAAATGTCAAAAATCTGAAGAAGTCTTACTGTTGTCCTGCTTGCCAAACCCTGTTCATAGCTCTTCCTGCTTGGGTTCACTGATCCGTTCTTGTGCCAACAGAGTAATTGGTTTAGTACATCTCTGGCCGTACGCATCCTGAGAAGGGTGTGGAATGCTGTCGTGTCAGACCTCATCTGTGAGTGCTCATGTGGGATGGATTTTTTGTGTTCTTTTTTAATACAACACTAAAAAGTATTTCGCTTTAGTTTCAGATATTTTTAAATCAGGTCAACAGTTCATTGGTTGACTCAAACATGCTTGTTCGCTGCATTACGCTGTCCCTGGACCGATTTGAGAATCAGTTTGATGCTAAAGGTAAAGAATAAGAAAGGGATGGAGAGGGGTGGTGTTTGGTAGTGATAACAGTTATTTTAAGTCTGGGCTTTGAAAATGTTTAGACAGAGAAATGCCACCCTGCAAGTTTGTTGCTACAGTCTGAGCACCAGTTCTGACTGCCATGTTGCTTGGACTAGTGTGTCTGAACTTTGAGCACCTAATGATTGTCTTTTTCCTCTTGCTGCAGTTGCAGAAGTCCTGTCAGAGTGCCGCCTGTTATCATATATGTCCCAGATGTCCATGAGAATGTCCTTCCTTTTCCGTCTCATTAATATTATCCATGTACAGACGCTTACACAGGTAAAGAGCTGACGGTAACTTTGTAATTATCTTGTTGATACTGTGTCAAGATGAACTGAACTGGGAGTAGGAAGAAACCTGGCTTCTCATGAGTCCCTTCTTTCTTGAGACATGTAGGAGCACCTCCTCTGCATGCTTACCATGAGCCATTTTAAAAGGATGTGTGTACAACCAATATCTTGATTTTTTTGTTGTTGTTTTTGTTTTGTGACCTACTGTGTCATTTTTACTTTTAGGAAAATGTCAGTTGCTTGAACACAAGTTTAGTTATCTTAATGCTGGCCCGAAGGAAAGAAAAGCTACCATTTTATCTGCGCACTTTGCAACAGATGGAATATACAGAAAAATATCCAGGCTTCATCCTGAACAACTTCCACAGTCTCCTGCGATTCTGGCAACAGCATTACCTCAACAAGGATAAAGACAGCACCTGCTTAGAAAATGTATGTGAACCTCTTACGGTAGCAATATCTATCTACTAGTCACCTAGCAAAAATGGGAAGTGAGAGGTAGTGGAGGGAAGGAAGGGAGCAAGTTCTGCTCCCCAGTGTAGTGTTCTGTAGTGCTTTTCACACCCTCTTACCCAGTCAGGTCCCTTGTGCAAGCAGTCAGACTGCCACAAGGGAGGTGCTGGGTTTCCCGGCAAATGAGACCTTAAGTCTTGGCTCTGGCACGCAGCAGTGAGTCTTTCCAGCGCTGAGCGGGTTTGAGAGGCAGGGCTGGTGAGATGGCAGGAGGTCCCTGCCTGTAGTGGGGTAGTGGGAGGCTGGCTGTAGAAGGTGTAGTTGGTTCAGCATCCGCCCCTTCTGCTCCAGGCCCCGGGAAGGATGGGCTGCATGGTGAATCAGAGGTGTTAAACGGTGTGGCTGGGGAAGTCAGGCCAAACAGGAAGCGATTTTCAGTTCTCTCCGCTGAATGCCTTTGGGATGTGTCTTCTGCTGCATGTTGGTGCCTGTGGACCACACTAACCAGCTTCTTCCTCTCTTCCCGCAGAGCTCATGTATTAGTTTTACCTACTGGAAAGAGACTGTATCTATACTGCTCAGTCCAGACCGGACATCCCCCTGTGCCATAGTTAGCTACATCGACGAGGCATACATGGACATAGACAGAGACTTTTCTGAGGAGTAGTTCTTCACCCTGGCTTCTGATGGACAGCGCTTGGAGGGTACCTCGCAGCCCGTGGATTTTCAGGGATACGCTGTGTAGTGTGTGTGTGCGTGTGCGGCTTGGAACCGTGGAGCGTCCTGCATTGTCAAAACCCCGGCCCCCTCCCGGTCCCCACCTCTGATCTCTAACGGATGAGACTTGGAAAGCTCTCTGGGCAACACATTCAGGGATGTATCTTCCAGTTGTTCTGGGATAAAAACAATCACCTGCAAAAACCAGCCTCTTTACTATTTTTCTTTTCCCTCTCTCCCAGTCCAACATGGCTGGTCAGAGATTTTTTTGCTGACAGATGAGGATACTGTGTATGTGCCAATTTAGTTGTGGCTGTTTTTCATGGCTACCAGAATTAGCAAGTCAAAAAGCACAGAATTTGCCCTCCAAATGTGAGGTCCAAGGAGCCAGTCTGACCGGGACCCTGACACACCAGCCACGTGCAGAGCCACCATGAGGACTCCCTTCAGGTGTAACTCTTCTGTTGGGGTTTGGAATCAGGGGTTTAGGGTTGGTTAGAGCGTGAGTGTGTGTGTGTGTGTGCGTGTGCATGTGTGCTTCTAATTCCTGAGAGCCCTAGCTCCAGTCACCTCTTTACCATCTACTTTTGGATCATTTGGTACTAAATCTGTCTGTGCGTTAGGAAAAACCTCTGCTCCTCCTGTCTTTCCTGCAGATGCTTCCCATCCGAAGGCGTTTTACAGTGCTGCGGAGAACAGAGACATTTCAGCAGTGGTGGAATTGCAACAGGGGTTGGCTTTTTCACAGAGCACTAGCATTAAAATATACTAATTTTTTAAACTTGCGGCTTGTCCCTTCTTGGGTAACTAATCTGGTTTTTAAATCCTTTTCAGGACTCTTGATGCTAACCTGCTCTGCCTGGAAGTCTTAGGTCAGTCTCTGCTTTCAGTCCTTAATATCAACACACACATTAATCTTGAAGTGCAATATTTACTGGAGATGTCGGGTTTTCCTGGATATGTTTTAATCACAATGTGTTAAGTGCTGGGGATAAACACTCCTGGTTGAAAATAACTTTGTAGGATGTGTTGGGAAAGGGGGAATCGGGTTTTGGCAGTCCTGATTGCCAAACCTGCCCCTGCCCTGCCTGCTCACCAATGTTAATTGTTGCTCCAAGACACTCAGATTCCCAGCAGTGAAATAGTCTGAAGTCCTGAGCCACTGCATTTAAGTCAAAAAATATGCATCTTGGAGTTCCAGCTAAACGAAACCGGTTTTCTTTGAAACATGCATCTGCATTTTTTAAAAAATTTTTTAACTTATTTGATGAGATTACTTCAGTTCTGTCCAGGCTCTGGAGAGGGACCTGTGGTGGGGATGTCCCAGAGCTGTAGCATTTTGTTTCTAATCTGCCAGCAAAAGGAAACCCCCTTGAGGATCCCTGTGCTGGGGCCTGGATGAGTGGACAAGGCTTCCAGCTCTAGGTGCAGGACTTGCTCTCTAAAGTCACCCTTCTCCTCTCGCTTATCTCACACTTCGGTGTCCTGCTGTGGACTTGCAGTCAGTACTTTGCTTGCAGGGGGGACAGAGCTGCTGAGCTTGTGCATAAACCTGGAGCCTTGCAGGAGCTCCTGGGGATCCTTCTGTCCATCCTTGGGGGGCTGAATCCCCTGGGCAGACTCTGCCCTGGTTGCACCCCTCGTGTTGGGGAGCTCCTCGCTACGGCAGCTGCAACTCTCTGTTCTTTATCAGGTCACCTTTCCCTCCCCTGAGCTAATTTCTTTCTCATCTGTACTTTTTTTTGTTCTTGGGTATTTGTGTTTTTGGTGTATCTTTGCTTCTTCTTAACTGTAATAGATGTACACTTAAAATAAATGCTTCAAATTAAAAGCCTTTTAAGTTAAGGGATGCCTTTTCCATAGTCTAGTTAATTGGTGCATCCACTGATTGCTGCTATAAACCTGCCCAGTCTCCTGTACATCTCTGTATTTGTGTACCGTACAGTTAGGGGCTGAGCTCTGCCTGTCCGAGGCTGGTGGCCTGTGCGAGGCTGAGCTGCGCTCACGCCAGCCTGGCTCCCGGGTCCCTCGGCCCCAGCATGGGAGCACAGGAACTTTTGGGCAGCGTGGCTTTGGTTTTGTGTTCAGGCTGATGCAGGAGGCCACCACAGTGGCTGCCTGCAGTGAAGGGCACAGGAGAGAAACCCCTGGCAGCTCCTCCACCGAGGGAGTGTGTGAGTGTGCAGGGGGATTGCAGGCAAATTTTAACTGGGGGCTGTGTTCCTCTGGGCTCATCTGTCCATGCCTGATGCCTCAAGAATCTCACTTTTGAGAGGGAGCAGACAGCTCTGTCCTTCATCCTTATTTTGTCTCGTTTATGGAGAGCACAGGGAGAAAGGGGCCTGCGAGGTGCCGGGGGGGTGTGCTGGCTGCAGCAGGCACCGTGCCAGGAGTGGGGGGAAGAGGGAAACCCTGTCACTAACACATACTTCCAGAACTCTTCACTATCCCCAGGGATTGCTAAGGTTCATGCTGCCCAGATTAATGCCAATTTACTAACTGCAAATAAACGTATTAAATGGAAACTATTAAAGAAATCTATTTTAAAGAAATTACTGGAGCTGTCTTTCTTTGCAGGCCCTTTGCCAAAGCTGCAACAACCCTCCCTCTACTCTGCAGGACTGTAATTAGGATTTTTTATGTTCTCCCCAGGAGCAAGTTTCAGGCAGGTCTGTTCTGCCCCCCACTCTCACCCCCCTACCCTGCCTCACCCCTTGGCTGTGGTCCCCTGTGGCTGTAAGGGGGCTGAAGCATTATGGTGGGGAGGCATGAGGGAAGGGCTCTGTTCCAAATCCTACCTGTGCCTCTCCTGCCCCTCCCTGGTGATGACAGATGTCCCCAAAGACCCCAGCTTGGTCCCCCCATCTCCAGCAGCAGACGCCAAGGCGCTGGTTACCCCATGACAGACACAATGGAGCAAGTCCTGGCACATCTACTTTTATTCACGCAGTGCAAAGCTGGCAGTGACTGTTGCAGCCACTTGCCTCCAACCAACAGCAGGCAGCTGGGCTCCTGCTACTCGTGCTGGCAAAAAAAACCAAAAGGGATTTGGTGAGAGGCTGGAGCTGGAGGCAGGGAGCACTCTGCCACCCTTCAGGTCCTGGCATCTGTGCCAGGTGAGGACAGCAGTGCTAGAGCAGCACCATGGGCTGTCCAGCTGCTTCTCGGGCTCCAGGGTTGGCAGGAGCCCCTGCCCTGCTCCCCCTGCCAGTGGGCTTACCTTAGAGGTGATGACCTCCCTGGTGCGGGCACGCAGCTTGTTGACCTGCGTCTCGGCGATGTCAGCACGCTCCTCGGCATCGTCCAGCTCGTGCTGCACCTTGCGGTACTTCACCAGGTTGGAGTTGGCCTGCTGCTCCTGGGTGGGGTGAGGGAAAGGGGGGTGCATGGGGCACAGCTGGGACACCAGGTGCCACCTCCCCACATCAGCCTCGTGGCCCCTTTCTCCTGCAGCCATCCCAGGCAGCCCCGGTGATGGGCAGTGCTGTCCTCTGCCCCAGAAGGACAGGTACTTACTGCCTCCTCAAACTGGCGCTTGTAGCTCTTGACCTTGCTCTGCAGCTTGTCGATCAGGTCCTGCATCCGTGTCAGGTTCTTCCGGTCCTCCTCAGCCTGCAAGTGCCCACGCTCCGTTAGCAGCACCCCAGAAGACCCCCCCCCCACTCGGGGTCTGGCTGCACCCATACCGTT